GCCTAGCCAGCAGGTGACAAGTAGGGGCCCAAGGGTGAGCTGAGGCCAGAGTCCACCAGGTGCTGGGGACGGCCTGGAGGCAGTCCAGGAGGGTTGGCTGCCGGCTGCAATGTCATGAGGCTGCGCAGCACTGCAGACCTGGTGTCCCCAGCCACTTGCACAGAAGCAACAGGAGCCAGGTGGTGGGATGGAGCTGACCCGGAGGGAAGGGATATGGTGGAGGCCTGGATGGATGCGGCTTTCAGGCATTTGCTGGGCCAGCCAGCATCCCACTTGGCCACTGAGGCCTGAGGCTTGGTGAGCGACGTGCAGGAAACCAGAAGCTCCTCGGGGCAGGCTGACTCTGAGGATCAGTGCTGGGACGCTGTGGGACGGGAGTCAGAAGCACAGGTGGGGACAACAAGCTCAGCACATGCGAATCCAACAGGAGTTGGCACAGGGCACCCGGATGTGTTCTCCTGAAGGAGCCATATCATTCCTCTGCTAACCTGACACTTTAACCCACAGTCTAAGGGGAACAAATTGTGGGGAGCAGGGTGGTCAATTTTTGAAAAAACGGGGTGATTCTTAACCATGTTGGTGCATTGTAACCTGTGAGAACTGACCTAGAGAGAGAAATTAAAGGTACAAGGCAGGGGCCCTGGGGACAGACCCAGGCCCAGGACCAGGGAGGAGAGGGATGTGGACACAGCAAACCCAAACTGAGAATTCAGCAAAATCACAAAGACTATTTTTGGGGATGTTTCCCAGGCCAGCTCAAGCTGCGTTCGTCCTCTGAGACCTGATCCCCCTTTTATCATCTTCCTTGATAAAAATGCTCAACCTCAAGGACCTGTGGAGAGTGACCGAGATACTCCTGGTGAAGGCACCCATGTGCCAGTGACACAGCTGGCCAGGGAAAAGCCACTGTGCTCCCACGTGACACAGATGGTGGGTAGAGCCTGGCAGACGTCAGCTGCCCACAGCCATGTCCGGAGCGAGACACTGCGGCCACCTAGAGTGGCTCGACATCCCTCTTCCCATGTGGTCTCCTAGTGATGGCTGCTTCCATACCAAGGACAGCGCCAGCTCCGACTCATTATGTCCAAGTTAGGACAGTGGTGTCCTGGAAATTACTAGATTGCTCCTCTTTCCCCCAGGCATCTGGTCTACCCTGTCTCTGACCCCTCTCAGAACATAGGCTTCCTTGATCTCTGCCTTTTCTTCTCCTGATTCTTATTACTCGGAACACATTCATTTACTAGGTTCAGATTCTTTTTTTTAATTGAGGCAAAATTATGTGACACAAAATAAACCACTTTATTTCATTTTTAGTCGGCTGGCCAGTAAGGGGATCCAAACCCTTGACCTTGATGTTATAACACCTGCTCTAATCAGCCAGCCCTTCCCTTGAACTTTAAAAAGAACCATTTTAAAGTGAACAGTTCAGGGGCAGTTCGTACATCTAGAATGTTGTGCAATCACCACCTCTAGTTTCCAAGCATTCTCATCACCCCACAAGGAAACCCTGTACCCATTTAGAAGCAGTCACTACCCATTTTTGTCCCTGCTCCAGCCCCTGGAAACCACTAATCTTCTTTCTGTCTCTGGATTTACCTATTCTGAACATTTTATATAAAGGAAACCATACAATATGTAGCCTTTTGTGTCTGACTTATTTCCAGACACAAGATTATAAACATTATAATATTTTCAAAGTTCATCCATGTCATAGCATGAGTCAGTGCTTCATTTGTTTTTAACGACTAAATAATGTTCTAGCGTATGGACAGACCACACTTTGTCCATCCATCAGTTGATGAGTTATAAACATTATAATATTTTCAAAGTTCATCCATGTCATAGCATGAGTCAGTGCTTCATTTCTTTTTAACGACTAAATAATGTTCTATCGTATGGACAGACCACACTTTGTCCATCCATCAGTTGATGAGCATTTGAGTTGTTTGCACCTTTGGGATATTACGAATAATGCTGCTACGAGCATTTGTGGACAAGTTTTTACATGAATTTATATTTTCATTTCTCTTGGGTATATACCTAGGAGTAGAATTGCTGGGCCATACAGTGCTTTCTTCTTCCTGCATCAGTCTGATAAGCTCTTACAGACAGAGGCAACTCACAGTATTTTACGTTTCTGAGCCTGATAACCTGATAGATGATCAGACTTCAAAACCAGAGCTGTCCAGTTGAACTTTCTGTGATGCATGGAAACATTCTCTCTCTGTGCTGTCTAATATGGTGTCCACTGGCCTTGTGTGGCTAGGATAACTTAGAAACTACAACTTTGCATTAAATTTTAATTAATTGAAAAGCAAATAACCAGTAGCTTGTTCCTGTGTATTGGACAGCTCAGCCTTAGGGGTGGACAAAGTGCTACTCTGAGTGGACCTCTCACCACACTGCCTCTCTCTTAACACCCTATTTGAATAATTTCTTTAAAATCCGGAAATCCACAGGGTATCTCAAACACCTAAACTCTCAGTCCCTGAAAAAACTTTCTTCCTAATAACCACTTGAAGGGCTTGAAGAGATACAAAGACTTACATAGCTATAAATACATAAGGACAAATTTCAGCTAGAATTGAAGGCTCTACCGAGAAATACAATGCATGGATCTGGAAGGCTGTTAACACTCTCTTGGCCTGTCCTTGTGGGTTTGTTCTACTGAAAAGGTGCCTGTTTGTTTGTTGCACCACCTACATACACTTCCCATGAATATCCTTTTGTTTTGATCCTCACTGTTAGAGGAGCAGTTGCTTATCAATTTTTGATGCAAATAGGTGCACTTGGATATTTTCTAAAGACAAGCAGATTTGTGACTAGTTCCAGATGGTGTCTGGGGAGGCCTGGTTTGGGTAAACCCAATTTTAGTGAGATAAATACATATACAATATCCTAAAATTGTCTTACTGGTCTGTCGTAATAAAGAAAACTAATGAAAACAGTAGAGATTCCAGATGGTGTCTGGGGAGGCCTGGTTTGGGTAAACCCAATTTTAGTGAGATAAATACATATATAATATCCTAAAATTGTCTTACTGGTCTGTCGTAATAAAGAAAACTAATGAAAACAGTAGAGATTATAATAACAGGAAAAGGATAACACTGACCTCTGACTTTATGGCAGGCATTTTAAAAAAGGGATAATCATGGATTAACTCATTTAATCCCTTCTGCCCCATGAGGTAGGTGCTATGAACATGGCCATTTCTAGGCTGACTTTGCCTAGAGTGTCTCTGGAACTCCTACCCCTCCTTTAAAACGAAATGTGCAGCTCGGGAACAGTCGTCTTCTCAAAAATCCACATATATTCGTCTACTTCTTAACCTGACTCTAAAAATAATCATTTTAAATTTCCTGAACTCGCAAACCTAGTTTTCCTTATCAAACTCAACCATACAAATTATTTTGTTCTGATTTTGGCAATCAATTTAATGGGATCTTTGGTGAATGTTTGACCAACTCAAATTAAACATATTAACTTCCTTTAAATAATTATCCAGGGCTGGCCGGTTAGCTCACTTGGGAAAGCATGGTGCTGGTAACACCAGGGTCACAGTTTCAGGTCCCCTACCGGCCAGCTGCCAAAAAAAAAAGAAAATTACAAAATTATCCCATTCACAATTGAGTCTCCTTGAAACGTTTACACTTCCTTTTAAAACCTAATAATTTGGTTCAAGTATTGAACACATCTTCAGCCAACAAACCCTTTCTGACACCTTTAGAATTCCCAAATCAATTAAATCTTAACTCCTGTGGACATGTTAAAATTCGACACACTCAAGCAATCACGTTTTTAATGGAAATACCAAGTTTTACCTATCAGAATGCCAAACGACAAATTCTTAAAAGATGAGAAATATTTTTGACACCAGATGAGTCGATCCAATTGTCCCTGGAGTAAGACATTGGGGACCTGATGTCCAGATGGAGAGCTTCCTGTAATCCTAGGTGATTTGCCACTAGCAACCATGAAGATGCCTTCAAGAACGGCAAGATTAAGCTCCCACCAGACGCTATGGGGTAGGAATCAGGAATCAGGGGCGGCCGCCGATCGGGCGAGCACGCCCTGCCGCAGACAGAACCCGCTGCCCACCTCGCGAGCGTGCGTGCCCCGCTCTGCCTGGACACCCGGTGCCCGTGCGCACCCTTTCCTACCGCTGCTGTGCACATCAACATGCGTTTGGGGACTCGGCTCTTAAGCAGTAAATGGCAGCGCCTGCAGTGCGGCTCTTTTGTGGAAACAGTGGGTGGCTCTGAAAAGAGCCTTTGGTGTCCTGTGCGGGGCCCCGGCCTCACTTGCCCTTGGTCTTGTGGTGGCTCTCCGTCTTCTTGGGGAGCAGCACGGCCTGGATGTTGGGCAGGACGCCGCCCTGTGCGATAGTCACGCGGCCCAGCAGCTTGTTGAGCTCCTCGTCGTTGCGGACGGCCAACTGCAGGTGGCGCGGGATGATGCGCGTCTTCTTGTTGTCGCGCGCCGCGTTGCCCGCCAGCTCCAGGATCTCGGCCGTCAGATATTCGAGCACGGCAGCCAGGTAGACGGGCGCGCCGGCGCCCACGCGCTCCGAGTAGTTGCCCTTTCTCAGCAGCCGGTGCACGCGGCCCACAGGGAACTGCAACCCCGCCCGAGAAGAGCGCGACTTGGCTTTGGCGCGCGCCTTGCCGCCCTGCTTCCCCCGGCCGGACATCTTGGACTCAAACGCTGACGAACAGAACACCGAGCACTGGGGCAGGAAGTAACAAGGCGGCGAGGCCCAGCGAGCCCTTATATATGGTCCGGAGGTAGGCTGGACGGCGGCTCCCGATTGGACAGCAGCGCTAGCCAATCAGAAAAGGAAGCCCGTGTCTCCTAATTTGCGTATGCCTTTCCCAGAAATGACGCACGCAACATTTAATCCAATCAGAAGTGAGCAATTCCTGATCCTTCATTTGAATACAAGACGTACAAATAGGGTTGCTCGGGGCGCAGCTATGTTTTGTTCGGAGACGTGCGCAGTCATGCCTGATCCGTCCAAATCAGCTCCTGCTCCCAAGAAGGGCTCCAAAAAGGCCGTTACGAAGGTTCAGAAGAAGGACGGGAAGAAGCGCAAGCGCAGCCGCAAGGAGAGCTACTCCATCTACGTGTATAAGGTGCTGAAGCAGGTGCACCCAGACACCGGTATCTCGTCCAAGGCCATGGGCATCATGAACTCCTTCGTCAACGACATCTTCGAGCGCATCGCCAGCGAGGCCTCCCGCCTGGCGCACTACAACAAGCGCTCGACCATCACGTCTCGGGAATTCGATCAATTTCAATAAGAGAGAGTTATTTCCCCTCCCCTCCAATCATCTGTGCAAAGGGAGCCGGTTGCAGGCCCAGGCTGGGGCGGGCGGGGCTCGGGGAGGAAACGTCACCACCACAATGACTGCGTCAGTCCTCCTGAGCCCTTTTTTTTTCTTCTCCCTGCGTGGGTCCACTGTAAGAGTTTTTGAAACCTTCACATGTTTTAAGATTGACATGTAAAATATTTTAATCAATAACTTCAAATAACTGCAAAGATACATATCCCAAGTAGGAGGTTTTAAAAGACAATTGTCACATCATCAGTCTTTTAAAGGTACTTATTGGAAAGTCAATTTGCTGGCGTAATCAAATGATAAAATTTATGATCATTGTTTAATAGATATTTACATGATTCTTTTTATCTCCTTGAACTCATATTTTCATTCTTTTGCTGCCCCAGAATTTTATCTTATGTAATATATTTTGTATGTTTAATACTGTTGTATCTATCACCCTTCTCTACAAAAAAAAAAATATGAAATTTAAACATCTAACAGTCTCAGTGTTTTAAAAAAGCAACTGGATAGTACACACTTTATCATGATTGAAACCTAATTATCAAACAAAAAATTTTAGTAAAACTGACCTTTTTTAATAAGGTGGATGGATAGTGGCACCTTCCTTCCTCCCTCTTTCCATCCCTCCCATCTTTTTTTCGCCTGCCTCCGTAGTTCACACACCCATGGGCTTGTACAGAATCAGTGTGCTTGCAGTGCGAGCAGTGTACAGAATTATTTCCATTCCTTCATTTTCTTAATATAAAATATGCTCTGAAAAAAAATTTAGAAAATTTATAGGAATGGAAATTTTGTCATGGCCATTCTTCTCAATTCTCTGCCTTCCTAGTTATAATCCAAAAATTAAATAGAGATCCCTCATCCAAAGTAAGAAGGCCTGGCTGGTTAGCTCAGTTGGTTAGAGCACCATGTTACAACATGAAGGGCAAGGCTACGACACGAAGGTCAAGGTGTTCGGATCCCCTTCTGCCAGCCACCAAAAAAAAAATAATTTAAAAAAGTAATTGGGACTTGTCAACACTCTTAAAAACTACCAAATCCAGTCCTCTCCACTATGAAACAGATGTGCAGTGACCAACTTGGAACATCAAGCCCTCAGCCTCCTAACATCAGAGATTTGGAGTCAATATCCTAAACCAGCATTTGCAGTCAACATGAAACTACTCTCACAGAGCCACATAATCCTCTACCTTGATGTATTTTTTTTTTTTTTAAAGATGACCGGTAAGGGGATATTAACCCTTGACTTGGTGTTGTCAGCACCACGCTCACCCAGTGAGCTAACCGGCCATCCCTATATGGGATCCGAACCCGGGGCCTTGGTGTTATCAGCACCGCACTCTCCCGAGTGAGCCATGGGCCGGCCCTACCTTGATGTATTTAAAACAGGTTTAGAAAAGTGACCAATTGTGTCAGCGGTTGGCAACAGCATTGTTTAGTACCAAAGATGTCAAGGCACAAAGTGAACATATCATAGTTTCCAAGTATACTTCTATAGAAATAAATTTAAGTGTGGATAATCCAAAACATTGACAAAATTTTTCCGTTCTGACTCCTCTGGCACAACTTTAAGTAAAAACAGCTGCCTCTACTTGCTGTATCAGCAGCCTAAAATGGGTGGGATTTGTCTCTGTTCCATCAGCCTAGGATCTATTAAGGGAGAAGCAAAGAAGGTAAAACAGGACTCCTGCTATTGACATTTTATAATCAAGAAAATGGAGAAAATTGTATACAGAATCCACGTCTGTAATTACACTGTTAGAACAGAAAAAGGCACGTGTTAATGTTAAACTGAAGTTTAAATGAAGGCAGTCCGTGCCAAATGTGAGAATACACATGCTCCTTCAGTCTGGATCTGAAATAATTAAGCTAGATGCTTAAAACTAAGGTTCTGGAAGAAACGAGGGATTTTTGCCCGCACAGAATCTAAAAGGCACTGAAGAGACTGCCCCTCCCCCACCTCAGCTAGACATTTCAAGTTGAATTTGCTAATTATTAGGGAGTAACCAAAGAATTCAAAAGGAGGGGCCGACTGGTTAGTTCAGTGGATTAGAGCACAGCCTTGTAAACATCAAGGTCAGGGGTTTGGAACCAACACGGGTCAGCTGCCAAAAAAAAAAAAAAAAAACAGAAAACTTTGGAGGGAATAAACTGTCCCTTTAAAAAGAAACTTCATAAGCAAGAAAGTGAGTTTACTGTATGAACAGTTAAGGGGTTAACTGTGGGTGAATGCGGGGCTGTCACTGGAGGTGGCGTGGGTAAAGGGCCAGAGAGAACCAAGTCGCAAATCCAAATCCCAGGCAATATTTGGGCTCTTGGAGGGTGGGTTGCTCTAAGAGATTCTTCGGCTTGGGGAGCCTCAGGTACTGGACATCTTTTAGAGGGAGGATAGCTAGGCCTGCATGCCCAGCTGATACTTAATGTATCGTCATTCAACGAACATCAAACTTTGCCTATGATTTACTGGATTAAAAAAAAAAAAAGACACTACATTTGCTTTACAAAAACCAACTTTCACAGTTTGCTAGGCTTAACGTAGATACATGTACATATATGTACACACACGCATAAATACACGTGGGGGATGAAATGCCAGAATCTCGGAATTGGGGATATTTTAGCTGAGTGGTGAAGGTGGAGACCAGCGTCCGTGCACCTGCCGTTTTGCTTCCAACAGGAACGCGTGGCATAGAGAGGTGCTTAGCGCAACGGTGCTGAAATGTTTGTTTTTGACCTGAAGCTAATTGTGTCTAAGTGGCAAAGCTGAGAGGGAAAGGATCAGTGAAGGCCGTTCCCAAGAGTCACCGCCACAGCAGCGCGACAACACCCCGGGCTTCACCAAAAGATCCTCCAGCCTCACCCATGAGACACTGCAGAGAGATGGGCACAAGATCTTCCCTGGAGGTGACCCGCGCCCCTCAGGCACACGGCAGACGTCACAATGACACGATTTTTATGGATAGAATGCACAGGCGAAATCGCCCGTGTTGCATCGTCTCCTAATTCTGCCTGCGGCCTAACTCTGCAAGTCTTTGGGGGAGTTAATGTGCCATTATAAACAAGGAGCCTAAAAAACAAGTTTTATCTCACGACTTGCACCCCCACTATACAGTCGACCTTCCCCAATCACCCCAATTGAATCGCAAGTCACGGAACATGTGACACTCCTTTATGAGCTTGGAGGTGGCTCTAAAAAGAGCCTTTGGGGTCGGGGCGTTGGGGTCGCCTCACTTGGAGCTGGTGTACTTGGTGACGGCCTTCGTGCCCTCGGACACGGCGTGCTTGGCCAGCTCCCCGGGCAGCAGCAGACGCACGGCCGTCTGCACCTCGCCAGACGCGATGGTCGAGCGCTCGCTGTAGGGCGCCAGGCGGGAGGCCTCGCTGACGATGCGCTCCAAAGGAGTTCATGATGCCCATGGCCTTGGACGCAACGCCGGTACCGGGGTGCGGCTGCTTCAGCACCTTGTACACGCAGACGGAGTAGCTCTCCTTGCGACCACGGTCGCGCTTCCTGCCGTCCTTCTGCGCCTTGGTGATGGCCTCTATGGACGCCTTCTTAGGGGCCGGAGCCGAGCGAGAAGGCTCCCGGGAGGCAGTGAAAGCACCGAGACGAACAGAAATGCAGCCGGGGCAGGGTTATTTGTCATCTCTATATTCAAATGAAGGCTCCAAATCTCTAGCATATGATTGGACAGCCTGATGCCCGCGGCCGTAACCAGAAAAAAATTATGTAAATAAGAGATGCCGGGTCTTCTCTCCTATTGGAGGATAGTTCAACCAATCCGGAAGCAAGCCGGCCCCGCGTGGGAGCTCCGTGTGCGCATGTTTGTTCCAAACCTTTGTTTTAACCCGGAGCAGATTTTTGTCTTCATGTATGTGGAAGTAGCTGAAATGGAAATGAAGACCGTCACAAACCCCGCACCTCTCTCTGCTCTGGCTATGAGGCAAAAGCAGCGGGGACATTTTCTTCTGCCACCAACAGCTGGGAGGGGAAGCTGATGCTTATTTAGCAAGAGAGGGGTGGGAATGGCAGCTTCCAACTGCTTTAACCATTTATTTCCCATTCACGTGTTTCCTCCCTAGACATCAATGAGATACATTCCTTTTAGAATTCAAGGGTAAATCCAAACGCTTCGTTAGGAAACGCAGAAAATAGTACTGAATATATACTAAGTTGGAGGTGGTAGCAGGGAAGCTTTTTAACTGAAGAGAGGAATTGAGTGGGTTTCAAATGACATGCTAGTCTTTCATATTGTTATTATTAATGCTGACGAATCCCATTTGAAGTGACAGCCATGACGCTGAGAGCCTCATATGCATGATCTTGTCTGTCTCCTAATAATTCTAAGAGGTAGGTACTATTGTTGGACCCTAATTACGCACCAGAACACAGACTTTTGGACGTCACCAGTCTCAAGTTGTCTCCTCCATCATATTAACTCCCAAGATAGAAATATACGTTGTTATAAATTTCAGCATCACCTGGAGAGTTGTTTAGAAAAGCAGGGTCTTGGGCCCCACCCTAAATGGATTAACTCGAAATATGCATTTTGAAAAGTTTCGTGTGCATGTTACAGTTGGGAAGCTCTGGTCTGAAGGTCATTTATCTTCCCTGCCGTGGGCAAGTAACTCACCTTCTCTGCACCTCCATTTCCTCATCTGTAAATGAGGACATCCGGGTCTACCTCACAGGTCTGCTGCAAGTTAATGTGTGTGAAGCAGCTGGCAGGATTCCCAGCACACACGTAGTACCTGATTTCTGTTAGCTTCTTTCCTTCTCAGAACTGACCCAGCCACCAGCAGCTGGGACTGCCTCAGCTGAGCTCCCTCTATGCCCTGGACAGCTGCACCACATAAATATGTGGCAGGAGCTTTTCCCCTAGTCCCACCAGAACAGAGACTAAGCTGTCATCCCCAGGGCAAGGATGTGGCTTTCATTTCTGATCTCTGGAGTGGAA